AGCACGAACCATGGCACGAACAAACACATAGCCAAGTCTAGTGATGCAGCACATGCATGTGGGTTTGATGTTTCGTGCGCCAAGGGTTTGCACTTAGTGCTTTTTATTAACCCTCGGCGCGCATGTGCAGCGAGGGTTACTGTAGTTTTCGTGTGTGTCTGTCTGTCTGTCTGTCAGTCTGTGTGTCCGTTACCTGACATCTCACTTCACGAGCCATCAATCGCTCCACAAACAATACCACGTAATCAGTATCGGGTATAGGTAGAAAAATATGTAGGATTTTCTCTGAAACTGCTGTGTTCGAGAGTTACGGCGTGAAACACGAGCGAAAAAGCCATTATGCTAATTAGAACAGGCTTACCTCGACCGGGTCCACTTGCTCTGAAGGCACAATAAATCACAACGAAGGGCGTGTATCGACTCCCGCATTCTATCTACTACTGTAGCTAGCCCATGTCAGACTCTCCATGAGCTACTAGCGGGAGACCACGAGTAAACGCATACTAATAGCCCAGCCTATCAATTAGTGATACCGCACGTGCGCAGTTCGCCGAGGGTTTGCACTTCAGTGCTTTTCATTTTACAGTTTGCGTTAAAGGAAATGTGGCAGCATACGAAATTTAGAAGTAAACAATGATATATACCCATTGCAAAAATGCAATTGGTAGTTCTATTTTCAGTAACAATTTCTATTTTTACGGCCAAAATCCCTTTATCTAGAAGCTTGTTGACAGATTTATGCTCCTATTTTCTTTTCTCTATGAGGTAATGTATGAAAATTACATGATGATCACATGACTGTCACAGGCGCAGGGAACTGACCCAGTATCAGGTCACATGACCAGCTACTCTCAGGACGAAGTCTTCCTCACTGTACTGAGACTGACTGGCATCAAGATCTCCGTGGCAACCACCAGAATACTGGCGGGGTCAGAGGTCAGAAATTTCACCTCTTCTACATGAATTGTCTGCAAATTAACCTTGCTTAACAAACGTCTCATTTTATGATGAGTCGGTCTAAAAAAGTATATAGCACAGACTATATTACCACGACTTTTTGTGCATTATGCATGCAGCATACAAGTTGCTAGGGGAAATGGAAATTTTGGGGGTAAATGGTAGCTTGTCAAAGGGGTTAGTGGGTTAGGTGTCCCCATAACTGACTCTTGTGTTACGTAAATCTAGAATCTGTGTGAAAGTATACTTACCTGGGACCACTTAATCATCCATTCCTTCCCTCTGTGTATGTGGGTGTCTGTTTGGGGGGATGTTCTATCCTTCACCTAATAACGCTGCAGAACAAATGTACCACTTGACCATCCTTTCTCTCCTTCCACTCACGTACATTGTATGTGGGTGTCTGTTAGAGACAGTGTGGGGGGTGAGAAGAAAGAGCATTCGTCTAGCTACGTAGTTGTGTATCTCTCTTTCTCCAGCTCTCCATACACGCTGTTGGTCTGAGTGACGAATTTCCCTTTGCCTTTGCCAGCTCCCTCCCCGGCCTCGTCTTCCAGTGGTCCTCCACCAACATGGACGTCGTCTCCCTTGCCTCGGTCTACGAGAAGGCCGGCGTGTCTCTTCAGGAGGAGCAGGATTTCGCAGCTCGCCTGCGCAGCCACAATCCCGGTCAGGCCACTATCAAACTGGTCGTGTCCTGCCCCACCGGGCTCTGCCAACCAGACAAACAGGTATCTGCACAGGTTGTAACTCTTAGACTTGCTCTTCTTATGTACATTGTTCTATTTCACATTTTAAATCACAAGTAAGGGGATACATAAATTATAGAGTTATGACGTAATTTTTGGCGACCATTTGATTCAATGATTTTTGCCCAAACCAGATTTTTTTGGGCGGTTAAATTTAGCGGTCAAATGCATCAATAATACATTGCCACCTGCAATTTTAACCAGGGCTACCATTTTATTTAATTTTCTTCAGCTTTCCTCATTCTCGTTAGCATGTGCAATCTTTTAACCAGGACTGCCATTTAGTTCTTAATTTTCAGCTTTTCTGTTATCATTATGTATAGTATGTCATGACATCCATTCTCAAATGTGTGTGACAACAGGTGTTCCATGACGAGGTGAAGGTGGAAGTCATATCCCCCCTCACCCTCCTCCACCCCCGCTCCGGTCGACTCCTCATACCTCACCAAGGACACGCCAAGATCCTCACCAGTCGCGACGGCTTCTCGAAACTCTCGTACAAACTCTTCTGCGACGGAGCGGGAGGAGGTGGGGGAGGGGAGGGTGTGGTGTGGGTGGGGGAGGAGGGGGAGATTGTCGCCAGTAGCGTCAACGGACACGCAGTGGTGATCGTGACAGCGTCGGAGGAAGATACGGGGTTAAACCAGTCGGCCATTGTCCACGTGGAGGTTGGTACGGTCGTCGGCCTGTCCCTCTCCCCCCTCTCTCTCGCACAGGCCACACCCAACTCCAAACACCACGCCTTCCCACTCGGCTACAGCGCAGAGTTCCGTGTCACTCTACTCGACGGGTCGGGACGGGCATTCGACTTTGCTGATATTCCAGTCGGTTACCGGTTAAACCGGTTTGACATTGTCCGTGTTACCCCGGGAACCAACGGGACGTACATTGTGAAGGCAGCTGCAAAGGGCCAGGTAATACTCAGAGTCTCTCTATCTCTCCAACCACGGATCAGTGACTATATCCGAGTGCACGTTGGCTACGCCATAATACCTTCCCTGGCAGTGGTTCACGTCGGGGCAAAGGTCTGTTTCACCACCCACCTCACAGAGGAGAGCTCCGGGGAGTGGTCTACGGGAGAGGGCGGAGTCATGCACCTGTCTCCCGGGACCGGAGTGGGTACCGCCCGTTCCCCCGGACGAGCCGTTATCTACCACAAGATCAAAGGAGTCAGCGACACCCACACCGAGATCACAGTCAAAAGAGTAGCCGAGGTAGGTTATTAGAGCCAACGAGAAGGATCTTCCCCGTTTCACGAATGCCCGACGTCAGAAAGAACTGGGGCCGTACAGCGTGTTGGTATCGTTTCTACCACACTCAGAACCAGAAAGATCAGGGATACTTTACCTCTCTCCTCACCAGTCCACACTCTGCCTGCGCCAGCGAGACGGGGGCACCCGCCAGTGGAGGCTACATTCAACAGGTCCCCGTTTCTCTGCCTCATGGAGCTCCGGGATGCCGAGAACTCTCTGGAGAGCGAGCGGTTTATGACGGCCGAACCACGCTTCGATCACAAGTACGGTACCAGCAGTTGCCTCCTGCTCCCCAGTGGAGACCAGCAGGCCCTGGAGTTCTCTCAACGAAGGAGAGTCTGTCGCTGAATCTGAGAGTGAAGGCTTTTGACAGTGCCGGCACCTATGAGGTATACTCGCCCGCTCTCCATGTCCCGCTCGTCCCGGCGTTTGCCGTGAGCAGAGACAATATCACGCTCACTTCAGCTGTTCCCAGTACCACTATCACTGTCACTGGACTCCCTGACCAGCTACAGGCCATACAGGTCAGTCTATATTTTGAGACAAAAGGGTGTGAGTGAGAACTACTGCTGTGCTTTTACGGGACTCGCATCATTATTATAAAGTGACCACCCTCTAGAGCACCGATATTTATTTGGCATAGTGGCAGTCCATAAGGGATAAATTTATATGAAACTGCACAATAGGGGCCCAATGCATTGAGTTTCCGTTTTCGTAACATCTTGCCTTATGTACCGCTAAATTCCCTCTAATGAGCACTTTATCCCATGGTTTTCCTCTCTTTTGTCTCTCCACTTTCTTTATGTCCCCCTCCCTCACTCCCCTCTCCCTCCACCCATCCACAGGTCTCCTCTCCACACCCTCTCTCCTTCACCAAGCACACCTCCTCCACCCACAGCTACACCTTCCTCCTCACCCTCACGGAACGTCACCCCTCACCCTTCTCCTCCCTCACCATCACACTCACATCCTCCCTCACACACCAGGTCACCACAGTCACCGTCTCCTACACCGAGGTCACCACGACAGCGGTTGCCACGGAGACAACCACGTGCAAAACACAGCCAGTCCCAACAACAGCACTGGAGGACCATGAAACTCCGCCGATCGAGACGGCCTATAATTTCATAGGGAACAATGTGGCGCTCACTCTAGTGGTAATCGTGACAGCATTCTGTGTGGTGGTTGGGATGGTGGTGATATGTAAGGCCCTCAGAGACAGTTCTCCCAGGACCAACAGTGGGTTCACGGCCTACCTCCCTCGCTCTCCGGCTGCACCTCAGCAGCTGGCCTTCTCCCCCTCCCACTCCCCACACTCGCAGAGCTACACTTTGACCCCTGGACTCCAACGAACCCCTCCCCCCATCCCCGGCAGCGGCGGGGGCACAGGGGGCCAATCAGCGTTCAGACGAACGGGGGTCCCCAAATACTCCCCCACTTCTCAGGGCCTCTATAGCACCTGACACAATTAATGCTCTCTTACATCACTAAATCTCAGTCAACATGGAGGAAAAGTGCGGTTCTATAATTTAGTATTATATATATAATATACCATAGGGAAAATAAAAAATTAATGGCACTATAGTCTATATTATCTGTAATAGAGAATGCTTTTCGAGATGCGGGGTTATAATATTATTGGCAAGCAAAGCGAGCCTGCCTGTGTCGTCTGAATGTGGAATCTATCTGTAAGGCCACTCCAAGTTGCATTCCGGTTTCTGGTCAGAGCCTTTTCAAGTCAAGATGCGGGCGGGTTTACTCATTATGTCATTAGTACACTTAGTATAATTATAATATGACCACAAAAATGTCACAGTGGGGAAGACAGTCAAAACGAGACAAGTACAAATCATTAGTACAACACTGCGCAGTAAATGATGACCAAAACTGCGTTCTCTTGAAATGGGGAATGGTGGGGTGGTGGCTGTGTATAATTATACCGATGACCCGATCATTATGACAACTTACACAACTGAAATTCGGGATGCATTTTAGCACTGAGTAAGTTAAAACGTAGTACACTTGGCTAATGAGAGGGTATAAATCTCCCTCAGCAAACTCGCCTCACTCTATTATGAGCATACATAATTATACATACATCCAATGTGAATGGGTTCATGCAACTCTATTTCATACAGCTGCACTAAGGAGAGGCAAGGTGCATTCGATGGGAACACACACTGCTTGTACCCATGGTAACCCGCAAATTTGTTGACATGGACAGCACAACTTTGTTGCATGGTCTCACATGACCCATAATAATAATAATATTGCCAAGTCTCACGCAAGAAAGTTGTATTGCGTATCATGGCATTAGCATACATCCAATGGAGCAGCTATAGACGGTGCATACATGGTTCAAAGTGTGTGTGCGTGATTTCTTGCTGGGTGCGATTGTTTCTATGGGCATTTCTTGTCCACAATTCTCTTCCCGTTCTCCTCGTACTCTTGTTTGGATATCCACATCTGTTGGAAGGTGCCCTGGAGAAGACAATACAGTGGAACCTCTGATAAGGGACCCTCTGAGATAGGGACAACCTCTCTACAAAGGACACTTGTTTCAACCCCATGCTAATACTTTAGTGTATTATTTGACCTCCAAGATAGGGACACAATCGTTGGGCCCATTGTTCTCAGGTTCCGCTGTGTATGACTATTATACTCCCCAAATGCCTCACACATGCACAGTGGAACCTCTGACAAGGACCCTCTGAGATAGGGACGACATCTCTACAAGGGACAAAATCTTTGGCCCCATATAATTATAGTGTCTCTTGTTCGGAGGTTCCACTGTATAAATTATAACAGACATAATGTTGACAGGTATTAGTTTTATGACGAACAAGCTTGATTTCTAAAGCCTGACACTCATGCTCCCAACGTTGCATGGCAGTTGCATATGTGGCGGACAGCCTGCCAGAATCCAAATTGAAAGACTGGCTGATGGAACTCACCAGGAAACTTGATTTGCAAACAAGAAACTCCAGAGAAGAGTTTTGTGGTAAAGAGACTCATGCAATGCAGTATGCATTATTACACATGGCTATATAGACTAATAATATTGACGTTTAGCATTTTCAAAAGTCAGAAACATAGGTGCCTTGAGAATGTCAATCAAGCCTCTGAAAGGCCACACAGCAGCATTTCTTACACTGCCCCCACTTCAGCATTACGAGAGGGAATGATTTGGGAATACAAATGAATAGCTACTAGGAATATCAGGGAAATCAAATGCAACTCTAGGAAAGCATGTAAAAGAATATCAGGGGAAAGTTTGTTATACTTATACATCATGTGGAAGGAATGGCTATGCAATTCCGGGTCAATGCAATCTAGGAGCATGAAAGTATCAGGGGAAAGTTTGTATACTTATATTACATCATGTGGAAGGATGGCTATGCATTCTCAGGGTCAAATGCAACTCTAGGAAAGCATGTAAAAGAATATCAGGGGAAGGTTTGTTATACTTATATATACATCATGTGGAAGGAATGGCTATGCAATTCTCAGGGTCAAATGCAACTCTAGGAAAGCATGTAAAAGAATATCAGGGGAAAGTTTGTTATACTTATACATCATGTGGAAGGAATGGCTATGCAATTCTCAGGGTCAAATGCAACTCTAGGAAAGCATGTAAAAGAATATCAGGGGAGGTTGTTATACTTACTATAGACATCATGTGGGAGAATGGCTATGCAATTCTCAGGGTCAAATGCAACTCTAGGAAAGCATGTAAAAGAATATCAGGGGAAGTTTGTTATACTATATATACATCATGTGGAAGGAATGGCTATTGCAATTCTCAGGGTCAAATGCAACTCTAGGAAAGGCATGTGATAAAGAATATCAGGGGAGGTTGTTATACTTATATATACATCATGTGGAAGGAAATGGCTATGCATTCTCAGGGTCAAATGCACTCTAGGCTGGAAACTGACAGAAATACATCAGGAGAAGCATGTAAATACTTAGAATATCAGGGGAAAGGTTTGTATACTTATACATCATGTGGAAGGAATGGCTATGCAATTCTCAGGTCAAATGCAACCTCTAGGAAAGCATGTAAAAGAATATCAGGGGAAAGTTTGTTATACTTATACATCATGTGGAAGGAATGGCTATGCAATTCTCAGGGTCAAATGCAACTCTAGGAAAGCATGTAAAAGAATATCAGGGGAAAGTTTGTTATACTTATATATACATCATGTGGAAGGAATGGCTATGCAATTCTCAGGGTCAAATGCAACTCTAGGAAAGCATGTAAAAGAATATCAGGGGAAAGTTTGTTATACTTATATATACATCATGTGGAAGGAATGGCTATGCAATTCTCAGGGTCAAATGCAACTCTAGGAAAGCATGTAAAAAATATCAGGGGAAGTTTGTTATACTTATACACATGTGGAAAGAATGCTATGCAATTCTCAGGGTCAAATGCAACTCTAGGAAAAGCATGTAAAAGAATATCAGGGGAAAGTTTGTTATACTTATACATCATGTGGAAGGAATGGCTATGCAATTCTCAGGGTCAAATGCAACTCTAGGAAAGCATGTAAAAAGAATATCAGGGGAAGGTTGTTATACTATATACATCATGTGGAAGGAAGGCCTATGCAATTCTCAGGTCAATGCACTCTACGGAAGCATGTAAAAGAATATCAGGGAAAGTTTGTTATACTTATACTCATGTGGAAGGAATGGCTATGCAATTCTCAGGGTCAAATGCAACTCTAGGAAGCATGTAAAAGAATTCAGGGGAAGGTTTGTTATACTTATATATACATCATGTGGAGTGAATGCTATGCAATTCTCAGAGTCAAATGCAACTCTCAGGAAAGCATGTAACAGAATATCAGGGGAAAGTTTGTTTTACTTTATCATGTGGAATGAATGGCTTGCAAATTCTCACTGGGGAGGGGGGAGGGGGGATGGGGGGGGGTTGGGTGGGGTTGGGGGGTGGGTGGGGGGGGGTGGGTGGGTTTTGGTGGTTTTTTGTTGGTGTTGTATGTGTTGATTTTTTATTAGGGGTCATTTGTGTTCACCCGCCCGCTTCTCTGCAGGATAAATAGGGAGAATGGTGGGGAAGGAGGAGAAGGAGGGACAGGATAGACTGACAGAGATATTGGGTAGGAAGAAGGGGAGGAGCGACTGAAGACACGAAATGTAGTGGCTGAGCCATGGAGTGAGCATAGCGGGGGGGTAGAAGAAAGGGAGGCAAGGGGTGGTCAAGGGTCACCACTGTGGCAAAGGAGTAGAAGACGGAGGAAGGGAGGGGAAGCGGGGGTTAAAAACGAAAAGAGACGCAGACTAACCTCCTTTCCAGCTCCTCTCAGGGGAAAGTTGTTTACTTATACATCATGTGGAAGGAATGGCTATGCAATTCTCAGGGTCAAATGCAACTCTAGGAAAGCATGTAAAAGAATATCAGGGGAAAGTTTGTTATACTTATACATCATGTGGAAGGAATGGCTATGCAATTCTCAGGGTCAAATGCAACTCTAGGAAAGCATGTAAAAGAATATCAGGGGAAGGTTTGTTATACTTATACATCATGTGGAAGGAATGGCTATGCAATTCTCAGGGTCAAATGCAACTCTAGGAAAGCATGTAAAAGAATATCAGGGGAAAGTTTGTTATACTTATATATACATCATGTGGAAGGAATGGCTATGCAATTCTCAGGGTCAAATGCAACTCTAGGAAAGCATGTAAAAGAATATCAGGGGAAAGTTTGTTATACTTATACATCATGTGGAAGGAATGCTATGCAATCCTATGCAATTATCAGGGTAAAAATGCAATTCTATGAATTATCAGGGTAAAAATGCAATTCTAGGAAAGTTCAGGGGAAGGTTTGTTATACTTATATATACATCATGTGGAAGGAATGCTATGCAATCCTATGCAATTATCAGGGTAAAAATGCAATTCTATGAATTATCAGGGTAAAAATGCAATTCTAGGAAAGTTCAGGGTAAAAATGCAATTCTAGGAAAGTTCAGGGGAAGGTTTGTTATACTTATATATACATCATGTGGAAGGAATGGCTATGCAATTCTCAGGGTCAAATGCAACTCTAGGAAAGCATGTAAAAGAATATCAGGGGAAAGTTTGTTATACTTATACATCATGTGGAAGGAATGCTATGCAATCCTATGCAATTATCAGGGTAAAAATGCAATTCTATGAATTATCAGGGTAAAAATGCAATTCTAGGAAAGTTCAGGGGAAGGTTTGTTATACTTATATATACATCATGTGGAAGGAATGGCTATGCAATCCTGTGAATTATCAGGGTAAAAATGAAATTCTGTGAATTATCAGGGTAAAAATGAAATTCTAGGAAAGCAATTGCGTATAGGTAACTGCTTTAGAATTAGGTATAATAATGGGTGTCTCCCTCACCATTGTATATGCACTATACATGTATCCATCAGCAAACCACTTGTGTGTGACACACCAAAATCATAACCATGCAAACTTCATGTACAGTGGAACCTATGTAACCGTAAAATTGTCGTTTAGGCACCATTTGTTCAGAGACGGAGGCACCCTTTATTCAGGTTACGAAAGTATTAGTACCAGATTGAATCAAGAGAGAGGTGTCCTCTATTATTCAGAGTTCCTTTAAGACGTTCCACTGTATAATGTTACTACTTGGTGTGTCAGAGGGCTCACCTACCAGAGAGGCTAGGATGGAGCCACCTATCCACGGACTGAACCTCCTCTCAATAGCACTACTTGGTGTGTTAACTGGTCAGAGGGCTCACTTACCAGAGAGGCTAGGATGGAGCCACCTATCCACGGACTGAACCTCCTCTCAATAGCACTACTTGGTGTGTTAACTGGTCAGAGGGCTCACTTACCAGAGAGGCTAGGATGGAGCCACCTATCCACGGACTGAACCTCCTCTCAATAGCACTACTGGTGTGTGTTAACTGGTCAGAGGGCTCGCTTACCAGAGAGGCTAGGATGGAGCCACCTATCCACGGACTGAACCTCCTCTCAATAGCACTACTTGGTGTGTTAACTGGTCAGAGGGCTCACTTACCAGAGAGGCTAGGATGGAGCCACCTATCCACGACTGAACCTCCTCTCAATAGCACTACTTGGTGTGTTAACTGGTCAGAGGGCTCACTTACCAGAGAGGCTAGGATGGAGCCACCTATCCACGGACTGAACCTCCTCTCAATAGCACTGGTATTCTGAACCAACTTCACACGAACACTCTGTCGAGAGAGAGACGGACAGCAGTTGTCAAATAGCGAATACTTCAGTATCTTCCCTAATAGCTTGAACAATGCAAACTTTGTGCAGTGAGAAAGGTAGACGTGTGTGTGTGTGCCCCATTACATGAGGTGTCTTCTGAGACAGCTCCCTGTTGAGTCTCTCTGGAAACCCTGGCAACAGAGAGTTGCCCCCGACAACCACCACATTGCTGTACAGAGTCTACAGGACAGAGACCAGCATCAAAAGGTTACGTAACACACTGTGAATGCACTTGTAAAAAGGGGAAGAGAAGGGGAGAGGGAGAGAGGGAGAGAGGAGGGAGAGAGGAGGAGAAGAAAGGAAGTTTAAAGATGGAGAAGGGAGAGAGACAAAGAGAGAGCGAAAGAGGGAGGAGTGAAATGAAGAGAGAGTGGGACTGGGAAAAGGGGGTGGACAGGCTGAGTTGGGCAAAAAATCATGATTGCAGGGTCGAGGGATATGAGAGTGGGGAGTGAAAGAAGGGAGAGAGGGAAGCAGAGATAGGCTCACAGGTCTGACATCCACGTCACACTGGCTGGCGGAGTTGATGACGACATTAGGCAGTGATAGCAGGTCTCCTCCACTGACTCCCTGTGTACAAACCACACGACGTACAAATCAGGATGAGAGGGAGAGGAGGGAGGGGAGGAGGGGAGAGAGGGGAGAGGAGGGGAGAGGAGGGGAGAGAGGGGAGGGAGGGGAGAGAGGGGAAGAGGGGAGGGAGGGGAGAGAGGTGGAAGGGGAGGGAGGGGGGAGAGAGACCAATACTGTTCCATGTTCTACTGCAACGCACACACAACAGTTTTGATGGCATACGTAGGAAACTTCGCCAAAAATATGAAAGATAAAGACTCTATCATACAGGTCTCGAACTACAAACTAATGTAGGTTTCTTCCTCAAGATCTTCCCTGTCATGCAGCAAAGAATGAACGCAACTTGGCGAGCGAATGAGAGGCAACATTTCTGCTGTTCCAATTATGTATTGGAGTATACTAAGTGGCAGCATTGGATAGATAGCACAGTATACACCATAGATAGGCTTGCTTTGCTCGCTCATACATAATTATGTAATCGACTGACACCGGAGACTTACGCATGCGTATACAAAAGGTGTGACGGAGCATGACATGACATACTTCACATGTAGCGTAGTGTTCAATAATCGGTTACATCACAATCGGTTACACACACATACCTTGATATTGGCAGAGCCGGCATTGAAGAGGCCCTCGGTCAGTTTGAATTTCTCGACAGTGGCGTTGAGACTGTAGCCATTGGGGAACTCGTAGGAGGTGGAGGGAATGCTGGTACTGTGCTCTATTCTGTGGGAGGGGGGAGGGGGGAGAGGAGGGGGTGGGAGTGAGAAGGAGGTGGAAAGGGTGAGGAGGAGGGTGTGATGGGTGGGGAGCGGTGAAGGGAGGAGGAGGGAGGCAACATAGAACAAACATAAGTTCAAAAGTTCATTGGTTCAACGGTAAATAGGGTATACCACAAATAGCATTGGACAGATGGGAAAATTCTGACAGCTAGTTGTGATTGTTTCGATTCTCAATAAACATGTACAACTGGTGACTTACTCGTCCTGCAGAGAAGTGGTCGAGACCTGAGCCACTGACATTGCGAAATCTCTCAGAATCTCCTGTGAAAAATGAAAACGTCGACATGTCACACTAAGGCAGACATTCCATGGCCTACGCATAGACATATGTACACCTCTACTATAGCCATTAAACCAGACATTTTTGTGAGTAGAAATCTGCATGTGTGTCAACAACGAAGTGTCAAGGCCAAGATAAGGCAAAATACACCCAACACGGCTTTTCACCAAGTAAAAAATGCTATAAAGTACATGTACTTGTTTGTCTTGCCTTGCCTTGCCTCCCTATCTCGCTACCAATTCGTTGAGACATGTATGTATATAAGTGTGTACTGACATTGGTCATGTAGATGTGGTACGAGTCGGTCACGCTTGGCAGGTTCTTGCGACGGGTCCAGACCGGCTCGGTCCTCTCCTTCACGGCCTCTTTGGTGGCAATCATGTAGGGAGGTACCACCTGGCAACCCAGCTCACTCATGAAATGGCTACAGACAAACAACAGACAGGGAGGAAATATTAGAGCTCTGGAGAGCATACCGCGCATGAGTATATATTACTAGGAATGCGCACGCGCATATTTTGCCTCGCGCCTGTCAGCCAATGCGTAAACAGTCCGACTGAGGCCGCTCGTGCACGCGCTCTACTGACTGCGCGCGAAGCCAGACTTCCTACGAATCTGCGCGCACGGCGGAAATTGACATTCCTAAGCGTGACTAATTGACATTCTTAAGCGTGACCGACACGTACGCATATCGCGAGAATACAACCCGGAGTAGTTGCCTCACGCTAACGCGCTCGGAAATTATTATTAGGGCACATGTGCAGAAAACAAAACACAGTAGGTGTGTTTTCGTGTAGAGTGATGGGCGTGGCCAAATAACCCAACGGTTGTAGCTGGATTTCTAGCCATTGTGGTCAGTGTCGTTGATTCAAGCAGTTTTTTTGTTAGCTGTCTTTCAAACTTATTCAAGCACCTATAACTCGTCAATATCTGGTGATCTTAGTGCGGAGGACGACAGGCATACAGACCAATCACATAACCCCAGCTTGCCACACATCCCCACACGCTGACACAGCGCACATCGTAGATGCATCACTTGTGCAACGATCTAGAAGGTACGTGTGGATATCGATGGATGTGAACAGAAAAGCAAGGATATGTAGCCCGATTCTCGCCATTACGGCCAGTTTTTCAAGACAGTTTTCTACCGTTTTTTTGCCAGTTTGGCTGCACCAAACAATCTCATTCAGATGCCTCATCTAGCAAAGTTTGTGCCGACGAAAACCACATCTTGGTCATGCACATGGGGTTCTAGGGAGCTCATGAATCTCATTACTTACTGTTCCAGCCCCACCCACCACCTACACATACCCACACTGAGCGGTGATGAAGTTCCCGGCCAGAGGTGTCCTGACAGTGGCCCCGGTGAGACAGTAGCCATCGTGGACTGGGACCGCCGACGTCTGCCCAGCACCTGAGTCCACCACTAGAGCTGTGCCTCGCCCATTGGCAAACCTGGGGGAGAGAAGGAGAGAGACATACACTACATTACAAAGGCAACCACTGTGCTATGGCACAACTGAGAGATGTAGGGTAACGTACGCCGAGAGGACTGCACTCTTGCAGAGGAAGAAGGCCGGCACGTTGTACGTCTCAAACATTAGTTCAGTCACTTTCTCCCTCTTGCTCTTCACGTTCCACTGAAAACACATACACAGGGAAAAGAAAACAAAGAGAGTAGGAGCCCATAAAGCTTCGGTATTGCATACAATTAGGAATGTGCAGTTCATCTAGCTATCTAGAGCAGGCACATCATAGGTAAGTATAGTTCTTTCACATGTAGAGTGGAATCGTTGGTCCCATAGTGTCCCTTGTTCAGAGGTTCCACTGTACTACAGTACATATCATGTACAAAAACCATGTGATGCCAAGAGAAAAAAAGATGTGGAGCTCTGGACAGCTGTTTCGGGCTTGTTGTCATGCACATCACGTTAGCCACACAACTGAACTGGTACACACACATCACTAATAGAAGGAGCTACGAAATGCATGTGTGTTGTTTGTGTGAGCATACGGAGCATGTGCAGTAGCTCCTTCAACTACTCACTACTGCACACATACATGGCTTCGGTATTGCATGTATGGTTTCAGAGGATCAGTAATATATTATGTAAGTACATTAGCAATAGGTATACACTAGAATGTGCAGTTCATCTAGCTATTGTATTGAGGGCAACATACGTACGGGAGGTTCAGACATGAGTACAGGGTGTTCAGTGGGTGTGGTCTTGAGATGTCTGCGGTACAAGTGGTCAATGAGTCTCTGGTACAGATCCCAGTCCTCAACTGCAGTGACAGACACACACAAATGCACCTCTGGCCAAACTAGAAGAAGAATACCTACATACTACTGACTGAAGAATACGGCCAAACTAGCAGACGAATACGGCCAAACTAGCAGAAGAATACTGCCAAACTAGCAGAAGAATACGGTCAAACTAGCAGAAGAATACTGCCAAACTAGCAGAAGAATACGGCCAAACTAGCAAAAGAATACAGCAGCCAAACTAGCAGAAGAATACGGCCAAACTAGCAAAAGAATACGGCCAAACTAGCAGAAGAATACTGCCAAACTAGCAGAAGAATACTGCCAAACTAGCAGAAGAATACGGCCAAACTAGCAGAAGAATACGGCCAAACTAGCAGAAGAATACGGCCAAACTAGCAGAAGAATACTGCCAAACTAGCAGAAGAATACGGCCAAACTAGCAGAAGAATACTGCCAAACTAGCAGAAAAATAACTACTAGTGCTGGTACGTAAAAGGCTGAGTGATAATTCGTTGCCCTGTCGCGCCGTGCCGCAATTGCGAAGATAGAAATGGGATTCTACGTATCCTCGCGATGTGGCAACATGGCACGGGTGTGATGGGGCAAATGCTGAGCCTATGTACATATATGTACTGTATATAGCTAGCTTTGGGTTCATGAAAAGTTGAGTTGCCCTGTCACTCAGTGCCGTGTCTTTTAGAGTTCGCACACGTCCTGGTAGTTACACACTCCACCGTACATACATAGCTGCTAAATGTGCAGTAGATAATGTGATTCCAGTAGATGATGTAAATGTGGAGTGCTCCGTAACATCTACATTTGCCAACTTTTCCTCTGCCAAAATATTCATACATACATATTCATGTTTCCCCCAATCTCCATAATGTGGAAGGTGCCACAGTACATACAATACATATACATAGCTGCTACTATGTTTCACAGAGGCTACATAAGACCAAGGAGTGCTCCCAACAGGAGCCCCTCACCCAGTCCATCCCTGAGAGGTGTATTTATCTCCACTTCCTCTCGCGGTACCGTGATGTAGGTGGAGTCAATGTAATACTTCCTCTCCAGCTGCGTCACCTGACCACTGTCGGTTCCATGGAGACCTCTTTCGCTGGCCCCACCCCTATTGCAGTCGGGACATCGGCCTGGGAGATCAAGTGGAAAAGCAGAGAATGTTTATCAGCAAGGGTTCATTTAGGGGGGGGGGAGGGGGATAACCCCCCTTGACAAACTCTAGCTTAGAGTTTAAGTGAACCACACAAATAGGGTTGGTTCTGCCTCTTCTATTTTTGCATTTTGCCACCTCCCTTGGATCAAAGGCCTGATCAGAGACGTATGCATGTGTCAACTCTCCTAAATCATACTGCATGGACAGTACCGATGCTGATGTGTCCCATTGTCCCATTACACACATTACCGCCAATGTCACAGTCAATACCTGCCGTCTGTGAGTGCTACCACTTTGCTTTATTATCGCATCATGCAGGGTAGAAGGTGTGGCTCGATCTGTGCCACCACGCTCGAGCCACACTTTCCCTCCTTAGTCGTCAGAAGGTTTTTGAGTCCCAGCTTTCTAACACTTGGAAGGGTGACATGTCTATCTATCTATCTATATACCTATGGCTGGTATGCTATGAACTATAATTTCATGTATGCGTACGTATAATACTATACCTTAGGGGTGTCTTCCCCGGCGTAGCCAGCCCGGGACGAGTGAGTCCCAATATCAAACACCAATGCCCCAACCTCATCTAAGCGTGAGAAAGAAACAGTGTGTTATGTCATAGTGACGTCAATACTATTCTGGCAGGTTCTTTCCACCGTGGGATAGTTATGCTGCACGGTCGCTACACTACCGACCGCTACATAGCTCTTGGTGAGGAGGGATTATTAGGTATGGTTTACCTCCACCGTACACTCCGCCACTCATGGTCCGCAACAAGAAGACGCGAATAGAGTGGGCATCGAATAGGAATCAAACTTGCGCATGCGCAATTCTTCAAAGCTCTGGGATCGATCAGACATGGCGTTGGATCATGGTCATCACAGGGGACTGTCTCTGCAAGCAGGGGAACTAACTAGGCCAGCTTTTGGTTCCAAACCTTGTGACATTGATCATCTTCATGAACCTTACTTCAACCACTTCATCTCCTCCCATTCTACCACCATTGTTCGTCAACTGGCTGATACCGGGATGTATTCATGTTTGCCAAACAGTTTCTGCGCACAATCTAACCTTATGTAATATTCATGACCATTTCCTTTATTTGTGCCTCTTTGGCTTCCTTTATTGAACATTGAACATTGCCACCAGTACCCTCGAGGATGGATATGTAACTCATAATAATGTGGGAGCTAGCTGTCTGTGTGGTAGTATGCTTGGCATGGAGGATGGGTATGTAACTCATAATAATGTGGGAGTTAGCTAGTTAGCTGTCTGTGTAGTAGTATGCTTGGCATGGAGGATGGATATGTAACTCGTGATAATGTGGGAATTAGCTGGTTAGCTGTCTGTGTGGTAGTATGCTTGGCATGGAGGATGGATATGTAACTCGTGATAATATGGGAGTTAGCTAGTTAGCTGTCTGTGTGGTAGTATGCTTGGCATGGAGGATGGATATGTAACTCGTGATAATGTGGGAATTAGCTGGTTAGCTGTCTGTGTGGTAGTATGCTTGGCATGATTTCTTGGAAATCTAGGAAAAGGGTCATATTCCACTGACCATTGTTGTGTCTCACTTATTGTATGTCACCAATTATTGTGAGTGTTGCTTTTTTTAAAGACCCATTGGCTTCACCATAAGCACATAATCACTGGTCCATACACTGGAGGACAAGTTGTCCCCCAGCAACATGGGGGACTAGACCTGCTGCTCTGTAGAGCCATGTTGCACTGATCGTCCGCGCTGCAAAGAGATGCAAGGGGGACACTACAAAAGAGCTAGACTCTAGCCTCTGGGCTAGACAATTTACTGGACAAAGAGTCTCACAAGCAAGACCCTCACACGAGAAGAGAGAGTCTGATCAATTGCCTATTATAGTAGGGTTGTTCTGACACCCACCCAGAAAAGAGTGGGTCTGGAATGTTAAGTGTACACTTTTCCCGATCCTATAGAAATGTATGAGAATAAACTCTTTAAAAACACGACCTGAAAAATATTATTTGTTGTTCCTTTGCAATTATCCACATTCAAGCAATGAATGTGGTCATAATGCATGCATCCCCATTGGGCTTTTTACACTTTGGATTTCCTTGTTCTAAGGTTTTATTCAGTTATATCCGTTTGTAAATATGTACATTGAGCAGGATCCCCAGTACTTTGGTGGCCTGCCAAAATCAATGTGGGATGTAGCTATGTAGCTATGTAGCTATGTGCTAATTTTATGCTTGGCTGCAGTTTCGTGGAAGCTATGTACAGTGGGGAAAATATTGTCCTCACGAGTAGTTATAAAAGAGCCACCAACAGTGAGAGGGAAAAGCACCCACAGAGTCCAAAGCTCCATTGGTGCAAGAGGCTCACGTAGCATTTTAGAGAATAGTCAGTGCCTCCAGGTAATAGTGTGATATTTTCCGACGACATCAATAATTATCTCTCTGACCTGTCAAGTGCATCGCAGATATCCACAATGGCGGCAACAGGTTGGGCAGTGGCTAGTGCTACACTTCTGCTCCTGCAGCTCACCATCTGTTGCGATGCTACACAATCTCAGTCTCTGTGCCAAGGGGAAATCTGCCATATTTCTCTTGACAACTTCTGGCAACTTCAAGATATCATCAGCTCAAACCGACTCATCATGTTGAACGGAGTGGAATTCAGTTTAAATGGCAGTAACGGTTTTATAGTCATTGAGAATGTGTCCAACTTGACAATATCTGGTGGAGAAAGTGGCAGTCTTATTGAGTGCTCTCCACAGTCCACCTTTGGTCTCCACCTCAAGAATGCCACCAATGTCACATTGAGCCAAATCAGGATCAGAAATTGTGCTTCACCCATCGCTAACTATTCAATTTCTCTTCTCATTGAGGTTCCTAGAAGAATAATCCTATCAGGAGTTCACATTGAATATTCTCCAGGACTTGCAATGATAGTGGGTGACCTTTCAAATGATAAATCTGAGGATCCCTTCTTTTTCATGGACAATGTGAACCCCAACCTGGCAGTGACTGACTGCAACATCTCCCACAGTAGAAAAGGCTCTATAGAGATAAATGGAACAAAATCACTCCTGATCGAGAGGACTGTCATTGCTAACTCAGAGTATGGCATAGTGTCATTTTATACTGACATAATGATGAAGAATGTTGATGTTATTAACTGCACTGATTCCTACCTAAAAGAAGGGCGAGCAATGGTGAAAGATAGACTGACAATGCAAAACAGCTCACTCTACATGTTCGTTCAAGACCTTCACATCCAGAGCGGCTCAACTGTTATATTCACTGAGAACTTAAATCAAGTTTTTCAACTTAATTTGAGCAAGATGTTTATAATTGGTGAATCGTCTTTGCTCATTACCAACAATTACGGTTTCCTGTTTACATCCGAATACTCTATAATCAGTATGAATGAAGGGATGTTTATCTTGAGGGAGAATGAATGTCACAGTTACTTATTGGTAACTAACAACACAACAATCATAATGGAGAATGGTTCCATTGCCGATATAACACAAAATAGGATGTATTCAGGTACAACTGCTGCCCTCATTAACAAAGGATCGTGGAATGTATCGTCAGACTCCAAGCTGTTAGTGACAGAAAACATCAGTCTAGGTGGATTCTTCTTTAGTTTGTTTTCAACGGATGTTACCCTGGAAGGAACGGTGATAGTAGCTAACAACATTATCAATGATTACGGAGCTCTGAATATCTTCGGATCAAGAGTATGGTTTCATGGCAGTCTGGAAGTAGTTAGTAACAGAGGAGAGACTGGAGCCATCTTTGCATTAGACAGTGATATCTTTATCACAGATAGGGCCACTTTTGTTGATAATGTTGCTGAATATGGTGGAGCCCTGGCCCTTGCTTCATCTGTCATGTTCCTTTCCACCGACGCCAAGGTTGACTTCACTAGAAATCAGGCAAAAGAATTAGGTGGTGCCATACATGTCTCAGATCCAAGAAATACATACGTGTGTGATTACTTGAATGAGAGGGTTGCTTCCTGCTCTATTCAAGTTCTGCCAGACAATTCCAAAAGGAGTTGCCAGTTGTTCTCAATAACCTTCAACCAGAACAAGGCGGAAATAGCTGGTAATGCCATCTATGGAGATAAGACATCAGCCTGTGTACCCAAAAGTGGAGATGACCTCTGTGAGAGATGTCCATACCTTAAAACCTCAGATATCTACCAGTACAATGGAGTAAATGACTCCTCGGATCTCTCTCATTTCACCTCTGACCCCACCAGAGTGTGCTTCTGTGAGAACGGAATTCCAAACTGTTACAAGGTCACGACTAACATTACAGTCCACCCTGGAGAGAGGTTTAACCTCTCTCTGGCCACGGTGGGGTATGGTCTGGGCACAGTGCCAGGGTCAGTGATTGCCAGGGGCATTGAGAGTGTGTCTGAGGATCGATTACTTGGAAGTGATATTCAGGAGATAAGAACAAGTGGATGTCAGGATGTGTGGTACTCCGTTGTTTCAGAGAATAACAGAGAGCAGATTGCTCTGGCAGTGGACACATCGTCATTCATAAGATCACAGGAGAATGTACAGTTAGTGGTCAATTACCAGCAAACAAGAAACACTACCAACACTTTTCTTATCCTGGATTCTTCCGCTAGCTCTTTACCAGAGGCATTCTTCCACATCCCAGTGTTTGTGGAGGTGAATCTCCTGCCATGTCCAGTTGGTTTCCAACGGGAGGGAGGGAAATGTGTCTGTCACCAGATACTGCAGAAACACAACATGACTTGCTTCTTCTCCAATCGCACAGGTTTTATCCTGAGACCCCCTCCTTATTGGATTGGACTATACAATGACACAAACCCATCCATCTTTATTCACCCTTACTGCCCCTTTGATTACTGCCAATCAGAACACATTGGCATCAATGCAGAGTCTCAGGACACTCAATGCCAGCACCAGCGATCAGGAATCCTCTGTGGCCGCTGTCGTGAAGGCCTCAGCATGATTCTGGGATCCTCAGAATGTGAAACATGCTCCAATCTCCACCTTTTGTACATCGGCATCTTCATTCTGATGGGTGTGGTTCTGGTTACCATGGTTACTCTAATGAACACGACCGTGTCAGTCGGTACTCTGAATGGACTCATTCTATTTGCCAACATCTTGCAGGCCAACAAAACCACATTTCTACCACCAAATCAACCCGAAACCAGTGCTGTCATTTCATTCCTGAGTGCCTTCATATCGTGGCTGAACCTGGATCTAGGCATTCCCTTATGCTTCTTTGATGGACTGACAACCTACTTCAAAACATGGCTACAGTTTGTGTTTCCTCTCTACATTCTGGCATTGGTTGGTGCCATAATCATTGCCAGCAAACACTCTAGACTAGTAACCCGGCTCTTCGGGACCAACGCAGTCTCAGTTCTGGCCACTCTAGTCCTTCTCTGCTACACCAAGATCCTGAGAATCCTCATCACAGCCTTCTCTTTTACCATTCTCACTGGGTCACAGGGCTATCGTAGTGTGGTGTGGCTGGCTGACGGCAACATCAAGTACTTTGAACCCAAGCATGCAATTCTCTTCCTAGTAGCACTTCTAGTGCTCCTGCTATTGGAAGTACCCTATACAGTCACTCTGACTGCTGCTCCCTGGATACAGAGGTCGAGGTTCAAGTGGGTGTCCTCTCTGTACAACAGGTTCAAGCCTCTGTTTGATGCATACATGGGTCCATACAAAGACAGCCATCGCTACTGGACGGGAATGCTGCTGCTAGCGAGAGTGGTTCTGATAGTCCTGTTCTCCAGCATCGGCAACACCAACACAGTGGCCGGTCCTCAACTGAATCTCCTCCTACTCATTCTCTCATCATCTACACTGATAGCTCTTACTGCAGTACTAAAACCATACAAGACAAGGCTGCTGAACGGGCTAGAGCTATTCCACCTCGCAATCTTACTCATATTCGCCTCCTCAAATCTCTACGTCTCAAGCATTGGTAGTGGAAATGAAGCACGTGCCAGCATCTACATAGTCCTTGTGGGGATCTGTTTTCTTGTGTTCCTGGGAATCTGTGTGGGCCACATCTGGTACAGAGTACGGAAGGCTTTGACTGGAAGGAGGCCAGAACCACCACAGAGAGAGGAAGAGGATTGGCATCCAGTGT